ATCAAAACAGTATTTGCATTTCCATGGTAACTCCAACTCCCTCTCACCTTTGTCTTTATTATGGATTCTGATACATTCCCAGTATCCTCTCTGTAAGGTACAGTTGAGACAAATAGCATAGGTCAGAAGGTTGCAAAAGGGATGTAATGTAGACCTAGAGAGCCACTGATTAATTATAAATTAGCATTTTTCAATATACCATGACAAAAAGCTATGATATGAAAACCAGTTCCCATACATTATGTCGATAAAAGAAACTTGCTTTGACCTCATTTTCTTCTCATTATCCCTTTTCTCCTTTATCACCCTTTGCAGCTTTTTTGTTTCTATCTTCTTTTTTGGGGATTTACATTTTTTTTATGTGTCCTTTATCTCACTAGTCCCCCTTTTCCCTTTTCTTTACACTGCTTAGTACAGTGTAGAAATGTATATTTTAAAATTTGTCATACTGCACTTTTTGTTCTTGAATAGAAATTGGGCAAGAAGAGGAGTTTAAGATGCAAGAAATTTGTGTTATATTCATTTTCTGCCTCTGTAGAGAAATAGTGCCTTCTAGTGTTTGCAATAATGTTTTGTATTTGCACCACATCCATTCATCAAAAAAGTAAAATATTTTTACTTTTTGTAGTTGTCCTGCCATATTTATTAAATACATAGATAGCATTATTATCCCTATTTTAGAGACTTAAAAGCCAGAATTATAAAACATTTATTTAATGATGAATTGATGATAGCTTAGACCAATCAATGAAAGGGTTAGAAAAATGTATTCCAATTAATGCACTCCCAATTCAGCTGCCATCAGTTACCAACTGGTAAGGAACAGATCACAAAAATACGATTCATGATATTGCCAAGCCACTAAAAAGAATGCCACAGATAGAGAATTGCAAAGGCTGGTTGCTTGAGGGCACCGGGAATAGGAAATGTTGCAGAAGTGTCGCTCAAACTTTCTATTGCTCAAGGTAACCTTTTTAGGGGTGATTTGATTGACATGTCTTCTTTTGTTCTGCTGCCCCTGTGTCACTTGTATTTCAATTAGGACTAGCCATATTCTTTTGGAGAAGGGCAGTGCTCTCAGAGAGGTAATATATTCCTTAAGAGGTTTAACGGATGTGAGAAGTTAGGTGTTACCCAGTATTTCCCAACTTCCTGTGGCTTGAATAAGCATTCCCTGAAATGCATTCTCACCTGTTGACTTATTATGAAAATGTGAGGAACAGGTATGCACGTGTAGATCTATGGAATTGTATTAGGGTTCTCCAGAGAAACAGAATAATTAGGGTATGTGTGTGTGTGTGTGTGTGTGTGTGTGTGTGTGTGTGTGTGTGATTTATTTATTTATTTAT